TCCAACAGTTTGTTTTTTATTTTATTTATTTATTTTGTCTTACTCTGTCACCCTAGAGTATCGTGGCTCACAGCAACCTCAAACTCCTATGTATGAGCAGTCGTCTTGCCTCTCAAATGGCTGGGACTACAGGTGCCCACCACAATACCTGGCAAAGTTTTTTGTTTGTTTTAGGTTTTTTTTTTTTTCTTATTTTTAGTAGAGATAAGATCTCACTTGAACTCCTGAGCTCAGGCAATCCACACGCCTTGGCCTCTCAGAGTGCTAGGATTACAGGTATAAGCCACCACGCCTGGCTCAAAAACGATCATTCTCAGGCTGGGCGCAGTGGCTCATACCTGTAATCCTAGCACTCTGGGAAGTCAAGGCAGATGGGTTGCCTGAGCTTATGAGTTAGAGACCAGCCTGAGTCAGACTGAGAGTGAGACCTCGTCTCTAAAAGAATAGCCAGGCGTTGTGGCAGGCGCCTGTAGTCCCAACTACTTAGGAGGCTGGGGCAAGAGAATCACTTGAGCCCAAGAGTTTGAGACTGCTGTGAGCTGTGATGCCACAGCACTCTACTGAGGGTGACAAAATGAGATTCTGTCTCAAAGAAAACAAAACAAAAACTATCATTCTCTATTTGAGCATTCTCTAAGTGCTATTCTGAACCTTCTATTCAATATGCTAAGTCCTATCCAACAAAACAACAAAACATCGTAAAGTAAGGATTTACTTGGTGATTGGCGTATGGGATGCCCAAAGAATTTCAGAGGAAAGCTTGTCTATGTGGATAGATTGACTTTTGGGGGTAATATTCATTTACTTGGTACATGGGTTCTAAAGGCTAGCAAAGTAACGAATTATTCTGTTACCTCTTGGTAATTGCACACCATTTAGAACTGTGATTTTTTTCATGTAGTTTCCTAAAGTTCCTGTCCTTATTGGAGTCAGGTTTTATTGGTTTAAATGACAGTTTCTGCATTTGGCCGTCATGTCCATGTGGAGTCATGACAGCCAGATTCAGAGCAAGAGATTATACTGTATTCATTTTGTTCTGCTTTTGAAACCAAAAACTAAGAAGTTGTTCTGTTGCTATACAACTAGTGTGTTTTAAAAAGGAGACAGTCTGGCTTGGTGCCTGTAGCACGGTGATTACGATGCCAGCCAAATACACCCAGGCTGGTAGGTTTAAACCCGGCCTGGGCCAGCTAAACAACAATGACAACTACAACCAAAAAAAAAATAGCTGAGCGTTGTGGTGAGCACCTGTAGTCCCAGCTTCTGGGAGGCTGAGGCAAGAGAATCACTTAAGCCCAAGTATTTGAGGTTGCTGTGAGCTATGACGCCATGGCACTCTACTGAGGGTGACATAGTGAAACTCTGTCTCAAAAAAAAAAAAAGGGAGGAGGAGACAGTCCTTAAAGTCCAAAAGAGAGACAGTAAAATGTAAAATCACAGGGTAGAGGAAACCAGATTTGGATAGCTTTCCTTGTGTGATGTTATTAGGCCTAGAATAACGTGGAAAAATACCAGTTAACTTCTGGCAAATTTCTGGGCCGCAAGCCCTCAGTAAAATGGAGTAAGTCTGGTTCACTCCCAAGATAGATGGGAAAGTACTCACTGACCTTTTGCTTGACTAACTCCCCTGAGAAACAGACTGGGAAGTACCAGCTATTCCCAGACTGCCCTTTTGAGAAATACCATGTGGGAAAAATACTGAAACAAAGATAGATATGTGGCTAACTAACTGCAAAATTCTATTTCTATACAATGCTTGCTAACCTATCCGAAGGCACCTGGGCAGCCTGTGTACCAACCAGATGCAGACCAAGCCTTAAAAACCTGACCCCTTGGCTTGGCGCCTGTGGCGCAAGTGGCTAAGGCACCAGCCACATACACCTAAGGTGGCGGGTTCGAATCCAACCCAGGCCCACCAAACAATGATGGATGGCTGCAACCAAAAAAAATAGCCAAGCATTGTGATGGGCGCCGCCTGTGGTCCCAGCTCCGTGGGAGATAGTGGCAGGATCGCTTGAGCCCAGGATTTGGAGGTTGCTGTGAGCAATGATGCCACGGCACTCTACCCAGGGGGACAGCTTGAGGCTGTCTCAAAAAAACCCCAACCGCTTAAGCACTCGGGGCTGCTCTCTGAACCCCTGTTTTGGGTGTGAGGCATTTGCCACATGGCTGTTCAATAAAGGGACCCTGCTGTGAATTCATCTTGTTTGGCAGTGATCTTTGTGGAACTCCTGGGCATAACAATGTGGATCCTGGGCTTAGTGTGGACAAAGGATGTACTTTTGTGTAGCCTGACCTTATTTATAAGACACAAAGAGGATTAAGGTTGAAGTTTTTCTGCTATTTGTTTGCTACTGTGTTGTTGGAGTTTGTGTTTGTTTTGGTTTTATACTTTTTTGGAGAAAGTCTAACTTTTATCCATGTGAAGTAAGTGGAAGCAGGAGTAGAAACCTCACCCTTTGTTGGCCTATCTAGGTAGGAGCACTGCAGGCTCAGCTGGAGGAGCAGTCCAGGCTTTCTAGAGAACAAGTTGAAGGACTCATGGAGGATAGACAAATTCGCATTGAGGAAATACAAGTCCTACACCAGAGAAATCAGGACAAAATCAAAGAGCTTACCAAAAGGTGAGTGTCCAGGAAAGTTGTACCTGAAGGTGTTTTATTTTTCTGAGTGGCTTAAAAGTTAATAGTTCTGTACTTTAACAGCATAGGCTAATGGAAGTAAAGGAACATTGAAAAAATGTCTTCTTCAGACATCCCTGCGTCTAGGTAGGTGAGTGTCCAGGCTTTTCCTGTTATACAGTAAGTCTCTTTTTTTTTTTTGAGGCAGAGCCTCAAGCTGTCACCCTGGGTAGAGTGCTATGGCATCACAGCTCACAGCAACCTCCAACTCCTGGGCTCTTCTGCCACCACCTCCCAAATAGCTGGGACTACAGGCACCTGCCTAGCTATTTTTTGGTCGTAGCCATCCTTGTTTTTGGCAGGCCCAGGCTGGATTTGAACCCGCCAGCTCAGGTATATGTGGCTGGCGCCTTAGCCGCTTGAGCCACAGTAAGTCTCTTCTTGAAGAGCTGACAAGTATTCCATACACTCTTTTT